CTTAATTTATATGTATTAGTTTCACCAGCTTTGGTTAGAGAATTTATACGTATTAGTTTCACCAGCTTTGGTTAGAGAGTTTTTTACGGACAGTTGGTTTCCTTGGGGAGCCCTTCTTCTCTCGTTTGTCCAGTTTTCTGTCTTTCTGTTAGGTAGATATGGCCATGTTCAGGGCTTGCCAAGCTGCGGCGAGCCCCTCTTGCCAGCCGCACTGTCCAGCATTCTGCGCATGCGCAGATCGCCCGAACCCGGCTCTTCCAGGATGTAATCTATTCACCACGGGCAAGTAGATTACATAGATTGTTGAGCCCTGGCCATGTTTAATAAAGTCTTCTTCATCAAAGGATACAAAGCAGGACTCTGCTGAAATCGAAATCCAGCTTTTGTGGAAAGGAAAAGTGAATGTGTTGGATGATATGATAAATGATAGTGTATTAGTACTGAGCCTTAGGTACAAAACTTTACTCTCAATGAAGTCCACTGAGCAAATTCATTTCCTTACACCTTTCTTCAATTAGAAAACATCCTATGTGCTTTAGTTTAATGAAATAATTATTGATGGCCATTTCCACCCATTTTGCTATGCTAACCCATTGTAAATGTTGGAACTCTTTTCTTTGTGTTACACTTTTTCATGGGGACACCTGGAGTGCAGGGAAAGCTTTCTGGCTGATTTCACCTTTCCCTCCCAACCACCCACACCCACCACCCACGCTGTTCTGACTTGGCTGGTTTGTTAAATGATCAGAAGAATCCTATTAATAGTCCCTGTGGCGTTGACTCCCCTGGATTGAATTTGCTTGAATATTTCCTAGACATATTCTCTAAATAATTTGTTTTTATTTTAGCCAGTGCATGTAATTAAATCCTGGAAAGCTTTCAGGAATGTTAATTGTTTTTCTTGAGGGATTTGAATTTAGGCTTTTACACCTGGCTCTCAGAATTATTTGATTTAATAGACAGGTTTAACATGGGGAGTAGAGTTTAAGGCCAAAAGGAACCACCAGATCAGTCTGACTTGCTGCGCGTCACAGTCCGCCAATACCATTGAGCACTCTCACACAAATCCTAACCACCACACATGATTACAGCCTTCAGGAAATTTAATTATTTTGTGCCGCATGCAGACAATTGAAGGAACTGAAGTGCACCAATGCCCAAAGTTCTTTCAGTGACAGAGAAATGATCAAGTGGTATATAGCCTGATGATCCTGGCAAGCAATCTGTGTCCCGTGCTGCAGAGAAGAAGGTGGGACAATCCCAAGGCCACTGCCAATCTGACGGGGGAGGAAATTTCCTTCCCAACCTTACATGTGGCAGTCAGATCCTGAGCATGGGAACAAGGATCAGCCTGCCGAAGTTCCACAAACAGTCCAGTGAAGTGGAGGGTTCAGGGCTTCCCCTACTGATGGGCAAAACATGCAGCTGCCTTGGGCACCACAAAATTTGAGGCATCAAATTGTCCCACATTTCATGGTGCTCTATGCAGCCAAGGGCTGCCTATGGGCTCTGGCCGTCCCCAGCCCATCCTCTGTCTGCCTGCTCCCGGCTCAGTGCTAGTCCAACCGCCCCACCCACACACTGTGCTGGTCCAGCCCTTTCCCCTCTGCCCCACCCCCCAGCCGTTCCCCACCAGCGCTCAGCATCTAACCCTCGCTCACCAGACAAAGGTGACTGGTCCTCGTGGGCTGGAGGACTGAGCAGGACCGTGCAGCGGGTGGCTGGGGAGAAGCGGCACTTTCCCCTTAAAAGCGCTGCTTCTCCCCAGTTGGCTGCATGGTCACCTGGTGCTCCTGCATCCCGGGCCTCCCTCTCCACTCTACTTTAGGTTGCTAACTCTCCCAGACTGGATGTCACTACAGTAAACGGTTTGCGGACTGGGAGAGTTGGCAACCCCTTTCTTCCACAGCTCCTCTGGGATAGGTAGGGTGTTAGCACCAGTCGATAGATATTTCTTTTTAATATATTTACTGTTTGAAAAGATAAGGCCTAGATTTAAAAAAATTCAGACCTAAAATGAGGTTTGTAAAGGCCCCATTTAGGCATTTAACATATGATCTATTTTTAAAAATTCAGACTGAATTTCCAGTCACTGGAGGCTGGATTCTGCTACCTTTACTCATCTTGAGTAGTACTACAAGACTACTTGTGGAACAAGGTGTTGGCTCAAAGTGGGTAATGGTAGCAGACTGTGGTTTTGAATAAATTTACCATTGTCTGGTACAAATGAAATGAAAAGTTTGGGTTTTGAGGAATTAGTTATTTTTGTTTCTCCTTACTCTCCTTAAGACTTCCCTGTTATCTGCCAGCTTGCCCTCTTGCTGTGGAAGGAAGGACACAGCTTTTTTGAAACCTAATACCAAGCATTTTAAGGGCTTATTTTGGAGAAGTCCCCAGCTTTCCAGATGGTTATCTGAATTTATTTAGGGTTGAAGATCTCACAAGAATTAATTTATTTTGTTTTTATTTATTGCAACATTTGTGGTATTTTTGTTCATTCAGGGTTTTGGCCAGAAATAATATAAACAGCCTTTCTCACAGAGCTACAGTTAAGTAGCTCCACTTCTGTTTGTAGAGGTAGGAAATACAGAGGTATGTGCAGAAATGCTAAGTAACTAGGAAAGGGAAGAGGAGAAATAACCAAACTTTCTCAAACTTCTGAACAAAAATTTGGCTAGCTCAGTGTTTGAGTCTATCCTTGGTTTTGTTCATCCCTGAGCACTGTACGCTGCTTATGTGGATCGGAATATTGACCAGGACTCCTGTGTTAAGTACTTATTCTGTTTTTGAAAATATCATGGATTTTTGGTTAAGGCAGTAGTCTGGGAGTTGGGACAGGTGGACTTATTTCCCTGCTCCTCCACAGACTTCCTGTGAGTCTTTGGACAAATCACTGTTTGTCTCAGTTCCCCATCTGTAAAATGGGGAAATGTAAAACAGCACTGCTCAACCTCGGAGGAGTGTTATGAGGAGAAATATTAGAGCTGGTTGGAAATTTTTGGATGGAGTAGTTTTCTGTTGGAAAATGCCAGTTCATTGAGATTGACACATTTTGTGGGAACAGGTCAAATTCAGTAAGATTTCTACAAAAGCCACCCAGCAGCTCTGCAAAAGCAATCACCTGTACACGGTTCTGTGTTGGGACGTCTAGACCATTTTCCCATCACCCTTCTCAGTGCTGTAATACCTGTGACGGTGTGCCTGGCATTTAACTTCTGCTGGCTTGAGTTTCCCTGGCATGAGAAAATGTTACTAATGTGTCTGCAAGTTTGTTAGGCATCTGACACATTTTAGGTTTGAGTTGTTTGAATGGGCAACCATTTATCTGATCAGTATCTGAAATTACACATCTTGTAATCAGTATTTGTAATTACTACTCCTCAGTAGTTTGTCACAACCTTCCAGTGTTCTTATTTTTACTGAAACACATTTTTGGGAGGGAAGAAGAGTCTGTTATAACAAAGTTCCCCACTGTAACAGCTTTCTCCTCTGTTTTTCACAGACTGTTTTTGAGAGGAATTGTCAGTCAGAGGATTGTGCTGCAGATTTGAAACTTCAGGGTAAATTATTGCTGTCTAGGTGAGTGAAATAAACTTTTTTCATGTTCTGACTTTTACATGCTAGTATTGAATTGATTTTAATTAAGGGTACATAAAAAATCCCAAATAGATATCCACGTCTTGCAACTTCTTGCATTACATGGTGATTGCTATTATTTATATTATGATAGTACCAAGACTAACAGGGATCAGGACCCTGTTATGCTAGATATGTGTGTGCACAAGAGACAGTCATTGACTGAGAGAGTTTGCAATCTGAACAAAGGAGGAGAGAGGAATTAGAAGCACAGAAAGATGAAGTGATTTGTTCCAAGTCCCATGGTAGGTCAGTGTCACAGCATAGGTTTTCTGTCCAATGCCATCTCAACCAGACTATGCCGAGTTTCGCTGAAGGTGATGACACAATATTATTTAGTGTGTGATCAGTAAAGCTTTGTGAAGCATCTCCATTTTCCTTAATGAAAATATCACATGAAAAAACCTCAAAATATTGCAAATGCCATAAAATCCTTTGTGGTGTTAAATTTTATCCTACTCCCTTTTCATTTAAAAAATTTGCAGACTTTGCAGGATTATTTGTCTTCATTTGTAAGTTTCACAATCACTTTGTCAATACTTAGAGATAGTTTTCCTTTGTGCTTCACGTTTCATCTACATGGTAAAAATTGCCAAGTGGCACTGATGTGAAATTTTTGTTTTGTCCCCTTTGACTTACGATCCAAGAAAGAAAGAGGCAGATTGTATTGGTTGGCCAGGATGTGCTTATTTCAGTTCTGGATTTTTTTTCAGGTTATAGGTGAACCTTACACATCACTTCTGTTTCCTTTTTCTTAGCATTTTTACCACACTTTTAGGGAGTGAAATGCTGATCTGAATTATTTAACCATGTTTCAGGAGTTCTGCTGTTTGACTTCTTGTGAAGTCTTAGCTTTCAGGCCAGGAAAGAATATGTAAAAAACCCACCAAAGTCAGCAGATATAAATGCATTTTGCACAACTCTGCAATGTTTTATAGTTGTAACTAGAGATGGGCCTGAACCAACCCCCCAAAAAAGCAATCTTTGAGACATTACAGTAAGTTCCAGCTCCCATCAAAGAAAACAGGAGTCTTTCCACTGACTAATTGGCATTTGGATTGGGATCTCAAATTATGGATTCAAATCTGCATTTTGCCCTTCCCTCCAAGCCTGGACTTGTTACCTTATACAGAATGTTAGAAGTGTACAAAATATGGATTGGAACAAAAACTGGAGAACTTTTTTTTTTCCTGTTCTTGATTATCTCTGATCTGAAGAAGACGGGGGCACAAATTCTAGACCCTTGCTTGCTATATGAGTTAGTCCTCTGAAGTTGTGTAATAAGCAGTATAGTAAGTAATGTTTGTGGGGATGGCTGGTTAGATCCTTCAGCTGTTTAGATGTAAGCCTGATTTTTTTACTTTAAAAATAAGCTGTTGACTTCACCTGAACAAAATAGAAAGCACGACTGTAGAACACATATGGGGTAATCTAATATAGTACAACATTGATACAGCAAGTTGCCGATCCACCCTCTCATTTTACTCCATCTCTGAGCTGCTGTTTTAAGCAAACAGGATGTGTTCTATTGGATAACATATTCTGTTATTTGCTGTTATTTTTCATCTCTGAGACTGTCAGTTTCTGTTTTTAGAAAGCATCTAGAGCCATGTGGTCACTTCTTCAATCTAAAGAAATTAGACTATGTGTTGTTATTGCCTGTTTAACATAAAAGCCTGCTTTGGCTTCTGGTTTTGTATAGGTTGGGAAGGGTACCTAATGTGTATGACTAATTTCTCATACACACAATGCTGTATGCCCAATGATTGTATGTAAATGTTTTTGTAATTCTGCCTGTCTATGTAACAGAAGTTACAAACCTTCAGTCATTTCCAATGCTTATACACCAGAATGAATTGAAGTATTTACAGGGTCATTATATTTGTCCAGTTCAAAAATGCATTAGGCTATTTCTGTTCTTACTGGAAAAATTGCTCCATTGATACCTATTCAGCTCCATCAGTGTAAAAAAATGGTATAAGTGAAAGCCCATTAGTTTCTCATTGTAAATATTGCCAGTTTGTGTGCTTTTTAGTAACCTCAACACTTCAGAGTCATAAAGCAATACACTATGTTACATAGTATGCAGTACATTGTTTTGTATCACATCATATAATGCATATTTAAATAGCAAATTTTATAAACAGAACATCTAATTCTGAAAGATTAGGTTACCATCATGAGAATTAATTACAATGATTATAACATTAGGGACCACAAAGTGATTTTGTTCTAGGGTTACTCAAGGAATGAATTTGACCCAGTGAGAACTACATAGTGAAAATATCATGCAGTGCTTTGGAAATGTACTCCTGGATGGCATACACTTAAGAACTAGGTAACAAGAAACAAAAATAATTGCTTGTTGGCAAGAGCCAGCAAATCTGCTCTGAATTTCTTTGTGGCTTTTTATTTACTAAGATGTTTGGGGTACAGATTATCCTCCGTTGCTCAATATTTAAGGTTGGCAAAATTCAGCTGTCAACATCACATTTCAAAATATACTAAGTAATTTTCCATAGGCAAACTTTGAGTTTGATTTATCTGTGAATTTTTATTGTCATCAATGGAAATATATTTTCATTGCTTTGTATATATGTGCAGTACAATTGGCATTTGCTGATATTTACTGTTAAAAATCGAATACCCCCAAAACTATCAATATTGATTCACTTGCCCTCAAATGGGAAACACATGTACTTACAGATGTATTGATTAGGTATCTCGAAGTACCTGAATTTCATGAGTCTGCACACTTAGGGGTGGGTTACAATACTGTGGTAAGTCATCCTTAAGTTATGCTACTTCAGTTATGTGAATAACATAACTAAAGTTGACATAACTTAGGTCATCTTCCTGCGGTATCTATGCTGTTCTATGTCAATGGGAGAAGTTCTTCTTGGAGAGCTAGAGTACTGCAGACTATGGGAGAGCACTCTGCCATGAACTTAGGGGTCTTTACTAGATCTACTAAATTGACTGCTGATCTACTGGTAAGCGTAGACATGGCGTTAGGCTTTTGCGGTGAGTCAGGTGCTCAGTGCCCCTGGAAATTATACTGCTGCATAAATTAAGGCCCTCCCCGGGTTTATTTGAGACTCAGCAGTGCAGGGGAGGTGCTTGAAAATAGTAAACTGTGGGAAAACTCCAAACATTTCAAAAGTTTTGGGTTTGATTTCATGTCTGGGCATGGGCAATATTCCTGCTAGAGCCTGGTGTCATTCATATGAACTGAAATAAACTGAAAGGTTGTTATGGAGCATCCTCAGAAATGTGTCGAGGGTCTGGGCAAAGGGCTGTAAATTAAGGCAGAGAAGATACATCATTCAGTTGTACTACACAGAAAGTAGATTCTTTCTGAGCCTTTGGCTCTTAGATGGATCCTTTCCCCTTCCCTTTCCCTCAGCTTATTGCAGCTTTCTACTTCCTAGAGTAATTTAGTAAAGTCTGTATGGCTAGAATCACTTTGAAGTATCTTTGTAAGTTCTGGCCTGGATACATCGATCTGGAAGGGACTGCTACCTACACTCTAGGTAAATAGGGAAGTGGCAGCTGGGAATCATTGGCTGCAAACCTTTGTCTTGGGGAAGCACAAGCAAGGCAGGATGGAGTCAGTGGCTAGAAACTTAAACCAAAGCAGATCCATGTTGTTTATGTAGTCCCCTTACTAAAGGTGCCTCTGCTTATTTTCTGAGAAGACCCTGTGTGTTGCGATCTAGCCCCACAGACTACAATTCCCATGAGCCCTGGAGGAAAACAGGAAGGAAGTTTCTCTTTGTTTTGGGGCTGACTCTCCCCAGGTATGTGGAGGGAGGCCCAGCAGTCTGGGGACTCTTCCCTTTGTTTTTTGGGAAAAAAGGAGCCAGGCTTCTGTGGAGGAGTTTGATCCAGTCTAGGAGCTTTTAGGCTGCAGCTACAGACTTGGACTAAGAGCCGTTGGGACTGAATCTAGCAGGCTGCTCTGATTGCCCTTTGGCTGTACCTGTGGCTAGAAGCTACTCTGCATCCAGCACACAGAAGGAGACTAGAATCATCCACTCCAGCTGTAAGATCTTGAAGTGCGCCCACGCAAGCAAGTGTATGGTACTGTGAGTTCTAGGAGGGCACGCTCTAGAGTGTGATAAATGGTGGCAGTGCAAATGCCAGATACAGGAAGTCCCCAGTTTACGTCAATCCGACTTAAGTCGGACCCCTAGTTACGAACGGGGGAGAGGTCGCCCCTAGTGCGGGGTGCCTCTCCCACTGTCGCCGCCTCCGGCGGCGCAGGGGGCGCTTCCCCCCAGCAGACCAGGGAGACGTGGAGCTAGCGCCCCCCGCCCAGCAGACCAGGGAGATCCGGAGTGGCTTTTCTCGCCGCTGAAGACGCAGGTGGTGCGCCCCCCCTCAGCAGACCAGGCTTTTCTTGCCACGGCGGACGTGGGTGGGGGGCACGCCCA